ATTATTATTATTATTATTTTAAATCGAAATCTACAAGAACGTAAACCTGTCTTTGATATCAACTGTGACAACCCGTATCCTCAACGATTCAAGTGTTGTTAAAATTTAAATTAAACTTAAATAAAAAGGTTGAAATTAATAAATAGGATTTTTATAAAAATAATTATGACTCAACATTATTCAAATTAAGTTTATTTTTAAAGAGAATGCGTTTGACATAAGGAAATTTTAAAATGAATTCAACATATGCATAAATAAAATTCGACATAACTTCTTGAAAATTATTTTAAATATCCCACGCGGCATTCATCTCCGTATCGACAGTCTCGAATCATTAATTTTATAAAAAGGGAAAAAGAACATAAAGTGATAATATCTCAATAAGTATACGTATATAATTTTTGTTCTTGCATATGCTTTTCATGAAAAATTTCATACTTGCGTAGGAAGACGAAAATTGGACCTATCTTAGATGGTACCAAATTTTCATGCGTAGTGCTACTATACTCTTGTCCATCCTTATAAATCCTAAACATAATACGGACTTTAACTTAACATAGTCATGAAATGACATATATAGGATTGCTCACCTCATAATGTAATCACACGCTTACTGTTTAATGGACAAATCAAAATGATACAAGAAGTGATTGTTAGAGAGAGATATTTGAGCTGCTTATTGGTTGAGTATTCACATGTGACTGTTTAAATGTATGATTATATTTAATATGAGAAGGAAAAGTAAAGGCGGCGAGACAAAGTGATAGAGGTAGAGAGGGAGAGTGTAGATAGCTGGCAAAGGGTAGTTTGTAGTGTTGGGTTTGTCTATTATTTATAGTGTAAATTCTTGGATCAAGTGTAGAAAAGTGAAAGGAAATGACTAAATGTTATGCATGGTCAATGCATAAATAGTATATTGTCTTGAAAATTGTCACATCAATACCTTTAATCATATGATCAAATCGGTTACATTTATTTATGTGGTCAAATCAATTACATTGGTTTAAAATGTTGTGAATAATGCATGTGGTCAAATAAATCATCTTAAATCATGAGATTCATGACTAATTGGTATATTTACATGTATTTTACATATGATTTTATCTAACTTTCAAGATAACTCTTCACTTACATTCTCAAACTATTGGCCAGTAACTGATAAGGTCATTAGATTTTAATAATAGTGCACTTAAGTCCTAAAGTTAAGTCTAACAACTAGTAGTAAAAATTCAAGACGTTACATGTTGATCTTTGAATTTCATGCACTGGAAATGAACATATTCTTTTTGTGCATGCTTTGGTCTAATGGCAAACTGCGTAAAATCTGAACATTCCTCATTTGACAGAGTTGAGGGGTTCAGTAAGTGTATTTATAGATATTCTTACATTGCTCTTTTTCTGATTAAAGTGTTTCCAAAGACTTTCTGGTATTTTCTGTTAAATTAACCCCTTGTTTGAGCTCCATTCTTTCCAAAAAAATAAATAAATTCTTAAACAATGATTTGACATCATTTCAACCACACATTCTTCAATAAAATAATATTACACGCAAATCCGAAATTTTTCCTTATTTTTTAACAATACATTTATGATCAATATACTATTCAAAAATTCATTTTTTCCCTTAAAATGGGGATCAAACAAGGGCTAAAGTTCCTACATTACAAATTTCTTTAAATTTCAGGCCATCGCTTTTAACCTTACTGTAATTGTTTGGTTGTTTATAATCAGTCCAGTGGGAGCGGGAGTGAAAGTGGTACACGAACTCGAAAATCTGTGAAATCAAAAAGTACGGGCAAGTTTGACAAAAGTGGCAGCTATGACGGGGCAAATAATGAGAGCAAGGGTTTAGTTGATGTTGGTGATGGAAGTGAGGATGCAAGTGATGCTTAGGTAGTTATATACTCTTTTTATATTTCAGAGGAACTATATAATCTTACAGTGTTTGCCTGTTAGCTAATGCGTTTTGTGTGTATGCAGAAACAATTGATTGAATATGAGCTATTACCATTTAGATTTGTTGAATCTTAGGGAACTCTCACTTTATCTATGAGAAATAAGTTGCATTTGGCTGCATATGAACATTTTTCTTTCAGTTAAGATTGTTTCCTTTCTGTTTCTATATGGAACATCTCAAATTGTTTTGACAGAACAGCAAGGTCTATTGATCGAATGCTGAATAAGTCTGCAAATGCTGATTATCTTTTCTCAACTCCAGAATATATTTTTTATTACTATTTTCTTAGTAAGCTAGTAACTGTTTACAAGTAAGGCATCAGTAAATACAACAAATAGTTAAGAGGATGATAATCCCAATAACATTCATTAGCAATCTACCTTGTCATATCTACTCTATACAATTTACAAGAGGAACACTTGACATCAACTATACTGTCTTTGGAGCTGGATTATTTCCACAATTAGTGTTACATGAAGCTAAGTGCAGTTTGAAGTAGATGAGATATAAAACAAGAATTCAATTTCTCTGGTTTATGTTTGTTCCAAGTTATCAAGATTTATATACTCCCCTATACAACATGTGATAGTTTATTGAACTTCATGGGCTTTTATTGCTATATTTGTCAAGATCACGAGTCTAAAAGCTTGTGGACACCAAAACTAGTTTATTGAGTAATGAATATAATGAAAAGTACAGGTTTTAGGAAAACCCGGGCAGGCTGCATTGGGAAAAATACATATCAATCACATAGAAGTAAACAGGAAAAGCCAGCATTTTCTGAGGCTCAAACTCAACCTTATTCATAAATCTAAGGAGAATATGCAAGGATGTTCAATACCTAAAGAAATAAGCATTCAGCATTTAGGTTTAAGGGTTCTTTGAAGATTATGATTATGCCATTAATATATGTCCTGAAGAATAGAAACAATTCCCAGAATTTGTTTCCTTTGTATTTTGTTGGGGGTTGCTGTTCACGAAATATTTCTTTCGATTTAAATTACCGCAAGTGTACGGGTCGTGACAAGTAATAAAGTGGACTTTAGAAGTCCGAGTATCGTCCCACAGAGAAAGAGTAGTTCAATTTTATTTATTTTAGCCTTAACTGAAATTAATTGACTTAAGATGAATTTTAGAATTAAAAGCCCTAATTTTGGGAGAAATCCCCAAATTGAAGAACCCTAATTTCAAATTAAACCCTAATTACTAAAATTCACTTAACGAATGACTCAATTACGAAATGTTATGAAAATAAATGAAATGTATTGTCAATTTATGAAAATCTATGTAAAACGAATGCACTAGGATCACGAATCCCCAAATAATTATTAAGTAAACCCTAATTTCACAATTTTGATAATCCAATGAGAATTTGACAAATCAATGCTCCTAAATCTATTCAATACTCTCTCTCAAGATGTATTGAACATATTCTCATAAATCACTAGCCTATATTTCTATAACGGATGCAATTATACAAGAACGCATGTATTTTTTTGTGAGCAATTAAAGATTTACATAGGGCATAGGGGTATATTTCTATCCTCTATCGGACCCTATGATGAATTATATATGTCGAGTTTAATCCAATTTTCTCAAATTCAGAATTAAACCACCAAATTCACACAAATTAAGTGCACATTAATTGTGGAAACAAATAAATCAATATAATTCATTCAAATAATCCCATCGAACTATGAATTCAAAGTCATGAAATAACAGGTTTAATAATAATTACATGGTTTATCGATCACCTAGTTATAGAAATCTAGCCTATCATGATAAAAATAACGAAATCTATCAAGTTTTGAATAAAATACATCACCGGATTATCAAAACTTGAAGAAATCCTGAAGAAATTTTGTAAATCTTCGCGTCAATCCTTGTTCTTGCCTTCAAATCCTCTCCAAAATGAATTTTTTTGCCTCCCAATTCGTTCTTCCCGGCTTCTGGACGTTTTTTGCTGTTTAAATCCGTCGAAATTAGGTTACCAAAGGAGTTGCAATCATATAAGGAACTGCAAAAATTGGGCACAGATTATACCTATGCGACCGCATAGGTATATGAATTTTGGCGTTTTTAATCCCTGGAGGGTTACTCGCGACCGCATAGCTTTTCTACTATGCGACCGCATAGTAGAGTGAACTTCCAAATTGAGTCATTTTTATCCTCAAGTTTCATTTCTTCACTCCTTGACCTCCTCTCTTGTTTCTAGTTGTTCCAATTTGGTCCTTTTTCGGCTCTTTTCTCCTGAATTCCACTATTTCCATAGAATCACCTACATTGCATGAATTCAACAAAATTAAATCACAATTCAATCATTTTATTTGTATTTAAGTCATATTTGTGATGTAAATAAGTGTGCGAAAACACACTTATCAGCTGCAATGTGAAATCTTTAGGTTTTTTTCAACTCTTTTCCTATTTAAATCAAGTGAGCTGAAAGCAAGTCAATTGAATGTGTGATGCATATACTGATGTCCAGTATATGCACTTTTCTGGCATGTAATTTTTGATTCATGGTCTTTTTTTTTGCTTGCTGATGTTGAATGCACTGCTTTCTGAATTTCTTCCCTCATAACAGGCGTCACAATGCTAATTACGTTGAACATGAAAATGGCTTGTCCAGATCCAAATTCCCAAGGGAGGGGGGCAGATTATTTTTATTTTAATCTATTTTTTTTCTTCAGCGGGTGGGGGTATGGTTTTTAAGATTCTATTGATTGATTGATTGCATTGCATTTCTTGTATTTAGCAAACACTTCTCTGATACAAAATTGTGGCTGGCATCAAAAATGATGGCAAAATTAGAGTTCAAGTAGGTCTTTGTTGGCCTTCCTAGAGATAGCATCAATCTTGATATTCTGAACGGCATTTCAACAATCAAATTGTATGCATTTGTTGGATAAAAGAACTGGAGGAAGAACAATCTGTTACGTAAGCTTTGAAATGTTCATCAGTTATTAAAAGCTCTTCTTTTTTTTCCTTTTTTATCTTGTGTTGTAAAAGTCATTTTTATTTAATTTATCAGCATCACAAGTATAATTTGACTCTTATTTTGTAGAGCTCTTGGATGAAACAAGCTATAGAAGTTGGCCGCTCTAAAGCCATGTCCCCAATAGATCAGCTAGCTGACTTACTAGATAGCACCTGTGCTCAAGATACCTGCTCAATTGCCGGAGCAGCTAACAACAAAACGTTGCAAAATATTATAGCAAGGAAAGCAAATAGAGGAAAAGAATATGGTGTTGATACATTACATTTTTTTTTGGCTTTGTTTTCTATTATTATCTTTATGTTATCGAACATAGCACATGATCTTTCTGGTTAGATACCATTGCAAAGGGCAAAAGCTTTGAGATAGTCATCCCCAGGAACTCAGAATCACAATCTGAAAATCCAAATGAAATTCACCTAGGACCTAAAGGTACAGAACAACTGTCATTGCTGGAGATAGATTGCAATACAAACAATAATCGAGTTGATAAGGGACAATTCAAGACCACTGGTGAATGCCTGCTCAGCAAACACAAGGATGTTACTTCTAACATGTCTAGTCCTTGGATTGATTGTAGAGTATCTGAGTGTACTAGAGAAGTTGCAAATATATCAGAAATTTACAATATTGTGACTCATGAATCTAAAAAACCAAATAACGAGCTTAGCTTAAAGAGATTTAGAGGAGTTCAGGAAATCGGGAGGACTATTCAAGATAACCGCTGTTACTTGAGACATTCTGAGCAATCAGCCTTCTCAAGGTTGGGAGCAAGGATCAACAGTTGATTATTTCTCATCGTGTTTTCTGTTTTCCTTGGACAACTGATTTCTGTTACTGAATTGATAGCAGAATTAACCCAGTATTCTGTCTTCTCTCTTTCTGTAGGTATAATACATCCTCAAATGTCATCAAAACCCCTAATGGGATCACTGAAAGCAGTTCAGTAGTTGATTGTAGTGTAGAACATGCAAAAAGAGAGTCGGTTTTTGACATACAAGCTCATTCAATTGACCATCTTCTATGTCAAAGTTCAAAAGGGAGTGGCAATATTATAGATATGGGATCCACAACTAAAAAGCTTAGTACGTACCTGTCAGTCGTGAAGGATAAGTTCGAAGCAACGTCTACAATTAACCCTTTTGCTGTTAGACCTGTGAAAAATGACTTTACGTACACCCAACAACAAGACAATCTAGTTATACACAATGACATGCAAACTACAGAAAACTTAGCTGTAGAGAGAGGCTTAAATCAGGATGGCCTGCACCCTTATCATCACCACCACAACCACCATCATCATCATTAACATCACCATTGCTATAATTTCCTCAACTTGGAACAACAGCCACCATCGGACCCCAGTGAATTGTCCCTAAAGAAATTGACTGAATATTCTCCATACAGTGGATCATCAAATATATTTTGTGAACCAATTGATGCTAACCTCAGAAACTATAGTTATAATGGACATGCCTCAGGAAGTAAACAAGGAAGCAATGGGCTCAATGGAAGTAGCACTACTTTAGGGTTTAATGCAGAAAGTTATCTAGGACAAGTTGGAAAAAATGGAAGTAGAGATGCTAGCGGCAGTGGTAGTGGAAATAAAAGAGATGAAAACAAACTTGCACTGCAATAAGATGCCTTGAACAAGATTTGTCAGAAGAGAAGGAAAGATGAAAGGTAATTGATATGTTTTATATGTGCCATTGCTTCCTATTACACTACTGTTGTTCTTCAAACTCATTTACCGATTATTCTAATCTGCTTTTCTTTGTCATGCTGGAAAAAAAATTTCTTTTTTTATTTTTATTGAATATGATGCAGAGATGGAAACAAAATATGTCCTCGTGCATCAATGTATCTCGTTTATAGGTTATGACCTGGCATGTAACTGAAATTGCTCATTACCATGGAAGCAATTATAGATTCTCTTTTAATTCATTGAGGAAAGAGCCATGGTCCTGCAAAATACCAATAACGAATAGTTGAGGGTTGTGTTAGATTCTTCTCAGTTGCTAAGGCGATCCTTAAGCCCAAGGTCCAAATATGGAACTTTTAGGATTTGTTTTCCTACTGTGATGTTCTATTTATCCTTAGACTCCACCAACCTCACCTTACCAGCCGTTAGCTCATCGCAATCACCATGTCCTTTGCCAGGACCACAATCAATTTTTGAAATCAAAATCTATAGTTGATCGAATATAGATTACCCCGTCTTTTGTTCTTGATGGGGTAGCAGGTGAGAGTGGCGATGGTTGGATGCAAATGGTCTTGCTGGTTGGGGAAGGGGTTGCAAGTTGTGCGTGGTGAGTGGTGTTAGACGGTGGAGAACAGCTAGATGCCATTAGTGAAGGTGGCAGCATTAGTGGCGAGAAGTGAGTGGAAGAATGTTGTTAGGGTTCTCTTGCGAAGAAATGCAATTGGGTTGGGAGAGAGAGAATGATAATGCAAGGTAATGTTGGAATTTTTGGGGGGGGGGGGGGAAACCATGGTCGTTTTTTCACCTTCTCTGTTGCTTGATATAATAGCTCAATTGTATCACAGATTGCTCAGTTAATAATTTGGCTAAAAGTCTGTCTATAGAACTATTTGTTTGGGTAGAGGAAAGTCCATCAAAACACGTGATGGTGTTGAATTAGTATCAATTCTGCATCTTGCAAGCAAAACAAACCCTTGCTGTTAAGTGTTATCTGGGTTTGCTCTAGGTCTTTATTAGTCCCCATAAGAACCCTGCTTAATTTGTAGACGCTTCTTTGATAGGAGTGGGAGTGGGAGTGGGAGTGGGAGTGGAAGAGAGCATACAGTCTCTTCAGTTGGCTAAAGAAGGATAAATTAGCTATCTGATAAGTATTGTCTACCTCTAAACTAGTCTAACATAGCTTAATTGTGTCCTGGCTTCCTTGATGCTAAACACTTGCTTTGCACATCATACCCTCAAAAGTAAAATGTTTTGCCTCCTACTTTATTGAAGTCTCACACTACACTACTTTACCAATAATAGAAGGGTAATTTGATTCCCACGGAGCTATTTCTAACCAAAATTCTGTTTTATGCTTGTATTCACACTTCTCACATTGATGGGTGACTTAATTTTTCAAGTTTCTTTTGTTAACATCTTTGGAGTAATAAAGAATTGTCATGTAGAGTGTGGTTTTGTTTATGGTTAGACATGATTTGGAAACCTACCATTTTAGAGTTTCAAAGCTTTATTTTATTTTTCCATTTCCCCGACACTGGAATTGATGGAAGAGAGAGATACAGGATATCTGTTACTTTATGGTGAAACGATGACACATTTCCTAAAAAATTATCTAGCTTGCTTGCTAGGATGTACTGTTTTTAATAGGAGAACATCAACTTATTGCTATTGCAGATTCTCAGTTCTGTCTTTAATTCAACGTGGCTTCTATTCGTAATCCTCATGTTACTGTAGGGATGTTCTTTTGTGGACCATAACTGGATTTAGTATAGAATAATGATTCTTGGACTATTCTAAACTATTTCCTAACAGAAATGAATAAAAGGGGGAAGAAATAAGAGAGTGGCTGTTTGTTTATTATTGAGTCCAAATTACCTAGATCATTCAACTGAGTTTGATCTGTTGGCATGTTATCATGAATTATTCTTCTTATACAACTCCGGTTGACAATATACTCATAGGAGAGGGGACCCGCAAATTTTTTAATTCAGCATGAGCCCCCTCCCATGTGTTTAATTGTCAACCTCGGTTGTATACATAGCACAATTGTGTTATCATACTAGTGAGAGTGATTATCCTATGAGCACATGTGCAGGGCCGGATTTGAGGAGAGGCCAAGAGGCCTCTGCTTCAGGCCCAGCATATTGGGGGACCCCAAGAATTAGTTATGTATCCCTTTTTTTTAAACCTAACTTCAACTTCGTCTTCATCTTGATAAATCGGTAGACTTGGTCTCTGCTCCTCGACCATAACAATGTGAGAAATCAAAACCTAGAGTCCTACCTAGACCTACGTAATTACAAATGAATGAATGAAATATACAATGTTTAAATGTTACAACATGTACAATTATTTTAAAAAAACACGACTCAATATCTACGGATCACCATTAAATTCAAATAAATCACAAGCTAATTTATTTCTCCAATTTTGTATCCACGCCTAGTTAATTGCGTCAACCTTCTGTGCTACACTCAAAAATTTTATGTACTTGATAACGAATATGCCGCAATCACCCGTACAATTACAAAATATCGTATTAGCACATCACTGTCTAACTAGAACGTAAGTTGTAAATAACAAAAATAAAATAATAAACACTTACGATATTTGCTGTCTCGACGTCGTCGTGTCCCGCACAGTAGCTAGTCTATCCTGCACAGTAATGTTCGCTCGTCTAGCCAGCATGGGGTAGATCACAGACACTGACTCCAGATTTGGCTCGAGTTGACCTTGTGTCAGGTATGAATTATCGGGGTTATACACATACATAGTCTAGTCGGCAAATACAATCTCCACTAAAATGTAGTGATGATTGACATACACCGGAATGTACAGATGCACACAACCCTCACATGGCTTTCCCCCGACACTCGGCCACATCTCTACGACCCACTCCATCATGTATGTAGACACCGTGTACTCGCTACCCATATCTTGCAACGTCTGGTACTCAATATCAACGGCACGTATGAACTCAGTGTTCAATATGAGTTGGCCAGGAATGTTGAACGATCTTGGATGTCGTTCAGCTCGATCTCGTAGCAAATCCGTGGCGAAGTCAATGTGCTGCACAAATTAAAAACTGAGTTATTTAATTTCATAAATGCAAAACGCAAAAATATGTATACGTAATAAATAACAATATTACTACTTCACTTATATCATTGGCGAGCCAAGCCCCCGAAGTTGTGATGTTATGAAACCACTTGTAAGCATCTGATATAGTCTTATGAGCAATCCTGCGACTGACTCTGAAAAATAAGAAAAGAATTTGTTAAGTAAAAATATAGATGTGTCAGCATCTACGTAATGTACTAATCCTTAACGAATAATACAATATTTACCCGAGCATAAGTGATTTCCACTCTGCCTCGAACGCTTTCCACTTGGCGTGGTCCACCTCCCTGAATAAATTCGGGTGCGTGCCGTCGACGAACCTCTTCATTTTCGCCTCCGCGGTAAACAGAGAAACGACATACTGTGATGGTACCCTCGACCTCTTGCCGACCACTAGCTCCGACACATCAACAGTACGTGAAACCCTCCCAATATCCGACACTCCCTCACCTATCATCGGGACCACCTGTTTTGTCCCCTCCGACACAAAAACTACGTCCGACGAGTCTGGGATCTGATATGGTACCCTCTCTGCTTCGGATATCCCCTCCTCCTCCTCCGACACCCTGACGACCGCCGCCTCGGGTAACCCCTCCTCCTTCGGCACCCTCCCAAACCCCTCCTCTTCCGACACCCCGACGACCTCCATCTCCGGCACCCTCCCGACCACTACCTTGGGTACCCCCTCCTCCGACGGCACCCTCCCGACCTCCGCCTCGGGTACTCCCTCCTCTTTCGGCACCCTCCCGACCCCCTGACGACCTCCACCTCTGGCACCCTCCCGACCCCCGCCTCGGGTACCCCCTCCTCTGTCTCCATCGGGGCCTGAGCCTCCATCTCCATCTCCATATGTATCGGGTCATCGAGATATGAAGCTAATGCATCATCCGATGCCTACAACGAGTCAACATACCCCATCTGGCCTCCTCGACTCTGATAACCACCAGCCTCTCCGTCACCCACTCCGTCCCGATAGCCGCCTACCCCTCCGTCATCCCCTCCACCTGTCCCTCCATCACCCCCTCCGTCCTGATAGCTGCCTGTCCCTCCGCCACCCCTCCATCCCGATACTCGCCAGCCCCACGCAGGCCTACTACGTCGCCCCATATCGCTACAACCTCAGCATAAAAGTCAGCTAAACTGACCTGTACCATCCCGACATCACGTCGTAAGTCAGCTACTTCGCCTCATAAGCCAGCTACGTCGCCTCTGACTCCATCATAAGTCGAAACATATCATCGATAGAAGCACTCTGACTACGTGTAGCTGATCCATGTGGGAGCTGTCCGGACGCAGGAGACGGTGATCTCATGCAAGGAGGTGACACTCTCGACGAAGGTGATCGCATGTAGGGAGGGGACATCCTCGATGGAGGTGACACCCTCCGCAGAGACGACGTCCTTGGGAAATGTGACACCCTCAGCGGAGATGATAGTCGACGGCGCTCCTGAAAAAAGAAACATTACAAATCAATAACTTC